GGGGCAGAGATGGTTTTTTATCATCGTCAGGCAATCTATGTTCAGAGCTCATGAGGTTTAGTCTGTTACATGAGTCCCAGACACCAAGCTTTCCAATCACAGCTATTAAGGCCGAAGCCACAGTGAATGGAGATGAATTTGCACAAGTGGAAATGCGGGAGGTGACAGATGAGGGGCACCGCCCACAGGAAGATTACAGGATGCCCCCACCCCACCCCTACCTCACACCACCACCCTGGCTCCAGTACTGCAGCATGAGGGATGTCCAAGAAGCCAGCCACAGAGGACCACAGCTGGCGGCTCCTAACGGGAAACATCTAGCATATCTATATCTAGCATATATAAAACAGCCAGGAACTCACAGCAACAGAAAACAGACTGGAGGTCTCCAGACACTGTGAGGGGAAGCATGGAAGGAGGAGCAATTGCTTAAGGGTGATAAATGTTTCCTTCTGGGGTAACCAGAGAGAGAAGAGGGTCATACTGCACCAAGAACAGGATGGATGCACAAACCATGAAGTTTCAACTGAGGAAGGATTAAAGAAAAGATCCAGCACAGGTCTGTTAGAGCTGGGACCCGGACTGCCCTGAAGTTTCGCTGCTGACTTCTCTGCCCTGTTCTCTGACCTACACATACACACACTACAAAACCATATGAAAAGATTACAAGAATACCATAAAAAACATGAATATTTGAAGAGATAGATGCTTGTCCTAATTTGAACATTGCATCACGTACAATTTGTCAAAATATCATACTATATTCACCATAAATACACACAAGTTTTACAATTACGTATGAGTTTTTAAAAATAAAGGTAAGGGCTGAGATATGGCTCAGTCAGTACAGATCCTGAGTTTGGATCCCAGCACTGACACAAAACCCAGGACATGGCATTACACCATGTAATCCCAGCCCTGAGAAGCAGAAGCAGGGGGCTCTGGGGGAACCAGTCTGGCTGGCCGTATCAGTGATCAAGAGAGGGTTCACGGGGAGACCCTGCCTCAAACGATAAGGTGGAAGGCTACTGAGGAGGACACCAGTGTCAACTTCTGGATTAAATGGGTGTGCACATGGCATGCACACACATATACACCATAATCACACATACAAGCACACCAAGTGAATGCAAATAAATTTCGTTAAGATGGCTAATGGTAAACTTCTGTGCTATGTATATTTCCCTAATTTAAAAAGCCCTACCAATGATAGCGCATTACTGGTGAATCCTCTAAGATCAACAGGGGGGACCAGCTCTCAAAGTTCGTGGGCATCAGGGAGATGGGGGGCAGATGTGGTGCACACAGTGTCTAGGTGATCTCACACATGAAGGGCAGGGGTGGAGCATGCCAGAAGTAGCCATGGTGACATCTGATTTTTAGGAAGGGGCGGGTGACACCTTTCTGTGTCTTCCCTTGAAATGCAGGTCTCCCTTAACAGGGCACCAAAGAGGCAAGCAGCAGCAGCAACACAGGGTGATGGCCCCCCATGGGGAGAGGAGAGATAAGTACCCTCCTCCCCAGGCACCTCCAAAACTACCAGGAATCTACCAGAAAGCAAAGCACAAGGCCTTGGCACATCAGGGGTGAGCGAGGGCCAGGAGGCCCTGCTGCTGGGAGGCCTGGGTGCTCTGCGGAAGAGCAATGTAGGGGAGAGGACACTAAGTGGGGGAACAGCCAGAAATCTGCATGAGAGGTCCACAGCCCCACTGCTCTGCACCAGATCCAGTGCCAGCCACCAACCTAGTCTGTCCCGGCCCTGTGTCCAGGGCAGGAGGAGGCTGTCCTCCTCTGATATACTCCTAGTAATTTTGGTTCAGCCCCCAAACCACCCCAATGAAGCAAATGTCAAAACAAAGTCAGGTCACAGAGTTTCCCATTTCCCAATGCATGCAACGTTGGTGTTTACACTGCTGCATGCCCAGTAAGTGTGCAATAGCATTATGTCTAAAACATGCAATATATGTATCTCATTAGAAAACACTGCTCAAAATTCTAGCAACCATCTGAGCCGCTGGGAAGACTTGTTCAATCTGAAAAATCCAGGGATGACGGCAGGGCAGACTGAAGGGCAATCAACAATGGTGGCCTACACCTCACATCTGGGAGCTGTTGGCTAGTGTAGCATGGTACTGACTGTCCTGACTGGCACTAGGAAGTTAACTATAGAGATGTATTAGTCAGATGATGGAGCTCCAAGATGGGGAAGCTATTCATTAAAATCTTCTTTGCCACAAAAGCACATGAAGAAATACTAGTGTAGGTTTGGAATATGCCTGAACAGTAGAATAGCAACCTATTGAACAGAGGCCTTGGGTTTACTCCTATGCAACACACACACACACACACACACACACACACACACACACGCACACACACACATGCATACACACAGAAATGTGGATGTAAATACATAAGCCAATCATATAGTAAATTACATTTTTATATCCAGCTTTACTACTATAGCAAAATGCTTAAGATTGCCATCTTATAAAGAGCAAAGGTTTATTTGGGCTCTCAGTTTTGGAGGCTGTAGCCCATAGTTGGTGGCACTATTGCTTCTAGGCCTGTGACAATGCAACACAGCACGACAGGAAGCACATGGGGGAGCATAGCTATTCATCTTATGGGAACACAGAGAGAAGAAGAAGAGGAAGGGCCTGGGTACCACTGTCCCTTCTAGAGCACACTTCCAATGACCTGAAGACCACCCACTAGGCTCTGTCTCTTAAAGGTCCCACAACTTCAAGTGTACAACACATTGAAATTCATGGGATACTCCAGATTCAAACAACACAGAAGGTTGGAGTGGACCTGATGAATTCCTACAGCCTAGTGACCTTTTCTGAGCTGTCATGTTGTCACAGTATGGTTGCACTGCCAGACCTAAGCTGCAACGTTATTTGCAGATAAGATCTTTGTACACAATCAAGGTCAACTAAGGTCTAATTCAGTATGACTGATGTGATAGTTAATATTGTCAACTTGATAGAATCTAGAATTACACACACACACACACACACACCCCTTTGGGTAAGTCTGTAAGGAATTGTCTACATTAGATTAATTGAGGTACAAAGACCCATCCAAACTGTGGGTGGCACCTTTCCTTGAGCTAGGGTCCTAGACAGCATAAAAAAGAGGAAGCTGGCTGGGCTACGCCATTCACCCCCACACCGTGCCCTCTACTTCCTGGTGGCAGATGGTATACACAGCTGCTTCAAGCTTCTGCCACCATGATGGACTGTACCCTGGATGTGAGTCAAAAATAAGTTCCTTCTGTAGGGGTATTTTACCGCAGCAACGGGAATGGAAACTAACATGACTGATAATCTTACAAAGTTTTTCCTGTTAGACAGAGCTCGGGGGTCTCCCGTGATGCAATGTTGAAGTGTTTTACGTTGTTGCCTCTTTGCTTAGTTTGCCTTGTTGAGTGGGTTTGTGTTGTTTGCTGTTTGTCACAAACAAAGAACTGAACAAGACACAGTAGCGAAAGAACAGACTATTAAAAATGAACCAAGTGCGGAAAGCCATAGACGGAGAGCAGGCTCCAGCAGGTGCCTGGTTTTATTATAAGAGAAAGAGTTTGCTGAAGGGTGGACCCTTGAGGATATCCTAGGTGATTGATTTTTTTTCTGTTCACTGGGATCTGCACCACCCCTGAGGAGATCCAGGATCGTTCCAAAGGATGGTCTTTCTCGGTTTTTGGGCTTGGAGTTAATCTTATGATGCAGAATCACATGATCTGAGCCTACCTTACTACATCACTTGGTAAGAGGCAGAAATACCAGTGAAATCTATGTGAAGGTTAGGCTGTCCTATCACAAGCCAAATGGCAACAAAGATGACTGGCAAGCCACCAGTCCTTTCCTGTAGAGCCCTCAAAGGAACCACCATACTAGCACCTTGGTCTTAGATTTCAGTCCTCCAAAACTTCGAGAGTACAAACTCTCACTCCCCAGCAGGAGGTACCCTGGAGATGACAAGTCTTCATATCCAACCACAGATGCAGGTACCTCAGACCCAGCCCAAGAACCCTGCACCATTCTCTTGGGACTTTCTGAAGAGTATGCAGCCTGCTTTCTGCTCTGGGGCCTGCCTACAGCAACAACACCTTCGGGCTGGTTGCCTGGTTTGAGTGTGTAACAACATAAGAACTGTTACCCCACACACAAGGTGCAGAGACCCTGCCCACTTCCTGTCAGCTCCTGCTTCCTGGAACCCCGAAGGAGCTCACGGATGCCCTGGGCCATCACCACTGGGTCTCCAACAATGCATCATGGAGGGTTGAAAGTACCCTGACAGCAGAGCCAAGAACAGTCTTTCCCAGGGTGGGACATGGTTGGCAGACCTCCTGGTCGTTTGTCCTCCACACACTGCTGGTTCTCCTCTGTACCTTTTACTCTCTGAACGCACACATCTGTAGTTCCAACCCACCGCAGATCAAAACTGTTTTTATTCCAAAAGTCCTAAAAAGTCAAAACATTTCTCACCTATCAAACCTTCCAGACAACAGCAGAGACCCCACGAATGGTATGGGCGTGGTCTAGCCTATTCCCACCCTGTGGTCTCTCTACAGTATGTGGTGGGGCCCCTGTGCTGTGGTATTAGGCTTACAGTGGCCCAATCCACACTGAACATGGGTGCAGTAATGCTTCTTGCCATCCTCTAAAGAAGAAAACAAGCATTCATATAGCTGTTGCATCATACGAGGTGTCAGAAGGCATCAACGAGGATGTGTACATGTGTAAACTTTGAACACACATAAGGGAACGGAGCATCCTGGAGGATCCAGGAACCCACCTCGGGGGATCCAATCCACATGGATACCATGTGACAACTGCAAATATGAATGTCTCAAACCAGACAATGCTGAAAATCAACATGAATGTATTAGAGTTTTGTTAGAGAAAGGTAAGGCTGTTGCTTAGCATGTTAATGGGGACTTGTCCCAACTGCACATCAGGAAAAGCTGGAGTTGGGAAATGCATTACACTTACCGGCTGTCACCACACAAAGTCCAGCCTCCACGGGGTCACCTAGCCGAGCTTCAATGGTGCTTCAATGATCAGAGAACTGCAACAGAAAGATCACAAACATGGCCGTCAGCAGACTGGGAAGGCAATCCACTTCTTCACAGACACAGGACAGAGTCAGAACCCAAGAATTCTCCTGAACAGACAACATCTGGAAATATAGAGTGCAACTGGTCATGAGTTCCCTGACATCTTCACACATAAAGGCCACCATAGACCACTAATTGGCCTACAGTCTGGGGCCACGCTGAGTATGTGAGGGATAGACTTCTCAAACTGTTCTGCAGGAAGACCCTGAAATCAATCAAATTATCCCTCCACACCCCCAGACCCCCACATTCCCATATGATCATCATCAAGGCTCTGTTTGTCCCCAGCTTGTTTTTTCCCAAAGTAGCAAAACACAACACAAGGCCCAGAGCTCTGTGCCATTCAAATAGCTTCTCTTAAAACACTGTTTGCGACATGTGGATGGACGCTTCTGCCAAATGCAACAAACAAGGACCCTGCAAGGAAACAGTGACCTTGCTCAAGTGCTGGTGCTTGAAGAGAGCCAGCAGGTGGGCAAGAGACACCATGTCCTCAGTGGCTTGCTTTTATTTTCAGCCCTGAGCTGCAAAGACAAGCACCTTGGTCCCCATCTGCTCAGGGGAGAGTCCAGGAATCCTCCACACCTGCCTGAGTCTCAGAGAATGCTGCGGCCCAGACTCCAAGTTTGCACCACCTCCTGCGCATGCCCTCAGTTCCTTCCCTTACACCATGCCCTTTCAAAGCAGGAGCTGACCTGGGAACCCATGCTTCCTTGAGCTTTAAGGCAGGCCCCTGCTGCTCTCTCTCCTGCAATTTCTTCAGACATATTTTCTGTCCACCCAGCTAGAACCTCCCCAACTTCTGGGATCCATTATAATGCCTAAGAAACACAAACCAACTCTCGTGGTGTGGATGGAGACACGACAAAACGAGACCCTGACTCTGAAACACAGGACGTAAGGTGACTGAGGCCCAGGCACCACACAGCCCTACCCTGTCACGCCCCACAGCCTACCCCGCCTGTTCTTCTTATCTTCACTCCTGCCATCTTTAGGAGTCTCTTGTTTATTCCTGTGGAATCTCCCCAGAATAGCTCTACTCATTCTCCAAAACCCAACTGGGCATTCCTCCCTGAACTCTGGTAATCACACGGCTCTGCACCTGGCCTAGCTGTATTTCCCAACATTCCTCTCTTCCCCACAGGACTCAGTGCTCCCTCTGGGACATGCCTGGCCTCAACAGATCCCAACCTTTACAAGGTTGAAAACACGTCAGCACCAACACACCTCAAAGGCTGCCTTCAAGAGAGGAGGATAGAGGAGAAGAGATGAAACAAACCAACAAAAATTAGAAAAAGGTCGAGGAGATGGCTCCATGGTTAAACTGTCGTGCAAACATGGAGACAGGAGCTCAGACTGCCCCCCCAGGACCCACATAAATGCCAGTTTGGGGTGGCAGCACAACTGTAATCCCAGCATACGAAGGTAGGGGCAGAGCATCCCAAGGGCAATGCGGCTAGCACCATCAGCCAGATCTGAGTGGCATGGGTGGGTTCAGGCTAGAGAAGGAGGAGCCCATTGAATCAGTGAGGTACATGATGACCTGGGAGAACCCGGGATCACTGGCGTGGCTCAGAGCAGAAGGCAAAGGTCTCCCTTGGGGTGGAACTTATAGACTGTGGGACACTCTCCTTCCACCCAGGATATGCTGATAAAATCATTCAGGAAAAAAGGGAGTACATAGAAAAAGTCTCCCCTGACCTCAGCTGCCACCCCTGGATCCTGGCCATGCATCCTGTGCAGAAGCACAGACGCTGCCCACCAGTCTCCAAAACACAGGCGCCCATCACTGCCTCACTGCACACCTGCCCTTACTAACCTGTGGATGCCACCTGCAGCATGCTCCTGAGGCTAAAAACACATCCACAGTCTTCCTCCAGGAATGCCCCATGGGAAATGGAGGCTGCCTGGGAGCCAGGACAGCTGCAAAGGCCCCGTGGTTCTCTCATTTGCCTCCCAACCCACACCAGTGATGGGGTGGACGACCTACAGCAGGCTACCTGGAGCCGGGTTTAAGTGCTTGACTTCCTTCATGTACCATTACCCAGCAGAAAACCCTCCATCCTGGGCACCTTGGCCCTTCTTTCCCAGGCTGGCCACACTCCAGGCCCACCCAGAGAGCACATTTACAGGGACATGCAGGCCACTCTAGTCACTTATAATCCCCACAATTGTTACACAGCCAACAGAGCTCAGTTCCCAGGGCCAGCTGCTTCCCTCTCCCCTGTACCCGACTCACAGAGCACTGAGAACAAAGAGGTGGGCCCCCACATCCCAAGCCTGCACTTTTCTGCACCCGGACAAGTCACCATGGCTCCCCTCGCTATAAATGTTGACAGGTGGAAACAGTCAAGCTAGTCAGGGGGTGACTTGGCCCACTGGAAAATGCATAGGTAGAATAGCACCCAGCTTCCATCCCCAGGCCCTCCAGTGCCCTTCTCACTGAAATCACTGCATGCAGCAGTCTGGCTACCAGCCCTGCCCACAACCCCTGTGCATACCCACATAGGTCAGCAGGTGCCCGACAACAGCCACTTATAGTTCCCATGGTGTCCCCATCCAGCTCCCTCCCAGGAGGCTCTGGGAATCCCCCTCTACCTAGTATTGGAGATTCTGCTGGTGTAAGAGAACATGGCATTCGGGTCAGCTAACACAAGCAGGACTGTATGGACTGGGGCACAGGGAACCCGGTGCAGGTATATAGGACAGCCAGGTGACCCAGCTTCCAATAGCCAAACAGCAGCCAGAAAGAACCTCCTCCACTCACCACTCACCCCTTGGGCATTCCTGCCCCAAGTGAGTCTTTTACAATCCCTCATACTCACTCTTCCTCTGAAAGACAAATTAAGACCCCTGCTGCATGAATTGATGATACTTTGGTCTCCACTAAACTATTCCCATTCAGTTGATAGTCAGTCCTTGGCTACTCGGACCAAAGCCCCCGTGACATCCTAGACCAGTCTCCTTCCATCACCCCCACAAATTCTACACTGACCTCTGAACTCCACAGCACTGTCCCTGCTCTCGTCGCATATGATCTGGCTCCCTTGCTCATCCTTCAACCCCAACAGGACAACCCCAAGGCCTTTGCACAGATCATTCTTTCAGATATCTACACCTTACTTCATTTCTCTCCCACCATGCTTTTGGGGCTTTTGGGCAGGGATCAGCTTCCTAGCCACACTATTTAATCCACTATCTGTGTCCCTAGCCTTCCCTACCCCTCCCAACTTGAAGCTGCCTCTTGACACTTACCAGCCCTAACATACAACATCTTTTATTGACTGTGGCCGTGCCCGCCTCCCCTCAGTAGAAAGCAGGCTCTATAGAGGCAGCACTGCTCTCTGTCACAAGCTCTCAAGTCAACAGGGGCATCTCTTCAAAATGTCCTTGGCCCTTCCAAACAGTCCTGGGCACCAGACGTGCTCTGTGAACAACCCCCACCCTCACCCTCACTATTGCAGCCGCTACTGTCCATGTTCCAGAAGCTTCAAAGGGGTGGGACCACCCAGACAAGCACCAGGACCAAAGCAAAAAACTTCAGACCATGTGTCCAAGCACTTAAGAAAGTGTTGACCTAGAGACCTTGAGTGTCTCAGCGTGGACGGTGGGAGGGGCATCCAACAGAGAGAAGGAGGGGCACACAGGGAAGGGCGCCCTAGTGGAATCTCATTCTGATGCAGGGCCTTTTCCTGCAAACTACAGCCTGGGAGGTTCTAACTAAGGGAGCGCTCCAGGCTGACCTGCCCAGTGAGGAAAGCTGTCAGTGACAGGGCCTCCCCTGAGGGAGTTCACGGACGAGTGACAGGCCTGAGGGAATTCTATTCTCATCCTGTCCTGCCAAGCCAGCCAGTCACTGGCTCAGAGCCTCAGACTTAGGTCCCAGTGGAGTCACGGCCTGCACGCTCGGTGCCTATCACCATGTGTCAGGAGCTACCTGGGCTCAGTGAGCAGCCATGGCCACCAGGGGGCTGCGTTCACACCCATTGCCTTTTCTGCTTTGTGGACTCTTGAGAGTGTTAGGACTTTGTTTTATGCCAACAAGAAAAAAATCTCCTTTCTAGGAACACCCTCACGATGGTCAAAGGGAGAGACAACAAGAGGAATGTCACAAGTTGTGTGCAATGTCCCCACGTGAGCTATACTTCTCTGTGTGCTGATTAAAGAGCTCAACATTGGACAGGAAAAAAAATGAGGGACATTTGAGGGTCATCTGGCACATGCCTCCTCAGACAAGCAAAGATTAGAAACAATGAACCCTCAAAACACTGACTTGGGTCTTTGAGACAGCCATGCCCACCTCTGGGAGCTGAGGCCCTTGGACTGGGAGGTACTTCTGTACCTCAGGCGGGCTGTCGTGTTAGGTGCCTGGAGCCTAGCGTAAGACCATGGGACCAAACAACACTCTTCTAGGCTGTCAGTTCCACAGTCTCTGAGTTCACACCTCAACCAACACCTCCAAAGCACGCCTACAGGTGACTGGCTTTCAGCTGGTCCAAGCTGGGCCTCATCTCCCCTGACAGGACCCTGCTCCACCCACAGCCTCCTTCTTCCAGAGAGACTACCCATCTGGGATCCCTCTCAGCTCTCTTCCTCCTGAGCTAGCACGCTCTAGTTTCAGACAGACTCTTCTTCCACAGCCTCCCCACCTGCCACCCCGGTTTCCACCGCCCACCCTGGCCTCAACCTCCAGCTGATCCCTGCTCTGACTCTAGTCTGCAGTAGTCCCCTCTGCATGGCTTGATGCTCCCTGCATAAGCGGGATAGTCACAGGCCCGGATGGGGCAATGCCCACCCAACACCTATTTAAAATCAGTACAGCAGCAGAGAGGGAGTTACTGAAATGGGCACAGGCAGGTAATGACGAATGTCATGAAGATACTTAAAGCCCCCGAATTAGATACTGCACAGGGGTGAGCGTCATAATATATTAATTATATCTCCCTAAATC